TTTTAGATAAGGTTTCTCTGTGTAGCCTTGGCTCTCTTAGAACTGGCTCTGTAGACGAGGCTGGCCTTGAAATCACAGAGATCCATCTGCCTCTGCCTCCTGAGTGTTGGTATTAAAGGTATAAACCACTACCACTGGCTCATCCTCCATTTCTTTCTTTCTTTTTTTCTGAGACAGGGTTTCTCTTTGTAGTTTTGGTGCCTGTCCTGGATCTCGCTCTGTAGACCAGGCTGGCCTCGAACTCACAGAGATCCACCTGGCTCTGACTCATCCTCCATTTCTTAACCTATAACAAAGATAGGACCTTCTAGAAGGAGGCCCCTGAGGCTTTGGCAATGCCGATCCACCTCTGCCCATCTGCTAAAGCAAGGTGTGGTCAGCTCAGTTTTCTGCATGTGACTTTTCCATTCAGTAATCAGGTCTGCGGCAAGTTATCAGACGCCCTGCTGAGTCCTACCATGGTGAACAAACTCATTTAAATGTTATGAGGACTAAGTTTCAGCTCCAACAACTGGAAATGCTTTAACACATTCCATATCTAGTTTAGATGTTATAGCTGGGTGTGGGGCACATGCCTTGAGTCCCAGCACTTGGGAGGAAGAAGCAGGAAGATCACGAGTTCTGGGCCAGCCTTGACTACACAAGACCCTGTCTCATTAAAAATAAATAAATAAATAAATAAATAAAAATAAAATAAAATAATGTATGGATCACACAAATAGTCTCAGCATTAGGGACGCTGAGGCAGGGTCACTGTGACTTCCAGGCTAGTCTGGGCTACACAGTAAGTTCCAAGCCATCCTTAAGTACAGAGTGAGTCCCTGTTTCAAAAACACAAAATAAGCAAACAAAAATATCTAGAGGGCTAGTTGAGGGGGTGCCCTTTAACCCTGGCGGATCTCTGAGTTGGAGGCCAGCCTGGTCTACAGAGTGAGATCCAGGACAGCCAGGGCACAGAGAACCCTGCCTAAAAAAACAGACAAAGAAGTTAGGGCCTGGTGTTACACGCTTGCCTCGATCTCAGCACTGGAGAGGCAGAGGCAGGAGAAGCAAGACAGATTTAAGGCCAACCTGGTCCACGACAAAACAAAATAAAATAAGAGGGTTATATTTCTGCTACAGTTAATTGTGTCGGTGGCAGGAGTATTCTTTATTTAATTATTGGGATTGTTGTTGTTTTTGAGATAGGTCTCAATATGTATCCCTGGCTAGCCTGAAACTCCCTATGTAGACCAGGCTGGCCTCAAATTCACAGAGATCCGCCTGCCTCTGCCTCCCGAGTGCTGGGATTAAAGGTGTGTGCCACTGCCTGGCCTTCAGTGGCAGGAGTTATAGGGTACTTTTCTTTCTAAAGTTCTTTTTTTCTCTCTTTTTAAAAATAGTTATCTATCTATCTCTCTCTGTGTGTGTGTGTGTGTGTGTGTGTGTGTGTGTGTGTGTGTGTGTGTGTGTTGTGGGGGCAAGTATGGAGAGGTCAACTGACAACCGGAGGGAATGTTTCCCTCCATAGTGAACTCAGGATCCAACTGAAGCCATCAGGCTTGGTGGCCAGCGCCCTTACTCACTGAACCATCTGGCCCACCCTGAGACTTAGCTTAGCTCATCTCACCCAGGCCCTGGAGGATGAGCGCCAGACAACTGAGTGAGAGGTCCCTGAAAACCACCTGGAGCCTCAAATCCAAACCCTGAGTCTCAGGGTCAGTGATGACACCAACCCTGTGACCTCAGGCAGCCTACCCAGCTTCTCTACCCTTCCCTTTCTGCATCTGTGAGGTTAAAGAATGGGACAACATGGTCTCCCAAGTCCCCCCTCATTCTAAATACCCACGCTCAGTTCTTTGTGTTTACCAAGCTGAAATGCAAAAGCACACGGGTCGCTCGACTACAGTTTCGGGACCCAGCTCAGCTCTCCACTTTGGTGGAGCTTCCCACGCCCCGGGGTGCAGCTGGCCAGAGCAAGGACAAGGAAAAGACATGTCAGGGAACATGAGAAGCAACAGAGGGGATAGCCCCCTCCCCCTGCCCGCCATCAGATTGATAAGGGCATAGCGTGGACAGGATGACTTCTAGAAAGTCTAGGCTGGGCTGCTCTGCCATCCAGAAAGCAGAGTTTTCCCTACAGGACTTAAACGGGCTGGGTGGGGACCGCTTGTTTTGGATATGTGGCACTCACTGTCTTTAGGGTTTCTGTGGTTGAGGGGTTACCTTGGCCAGCAGCCTTCGCCCGTCATTATCTAGGATGAAGACAGCCTTGATGGTGTAGAGAGAAGGTTCCTGAAACTGACACGGGAAAGGAACCTCTGACTCAAAGTGGACCGTATGGTGGGTCTATGGAGTCAGCTATTCCCTCAATCCACAGCTGGTTCCAGCCCAAGCCCGTGCCACATGGACCATTTCCGGTGCCCACTCTACTCCCAGGCAGATGTTCCACTGCAGGTCCAAAAGGAGTGGGTGCAGAAAGTCCTACCGGGCCCAAGTTCTGTCATGCACTGACTGCTCCAGAGCCCGAGTCGGAGTGTATCACAGAACCTGGGCCCGGGGAACAGCGGCGCCCGCCGAGCCTCCTTGTGTTCAGCTGACCCCAAGCTCCAGAAGCGCGGCCATCACCCTGGAGCAAGGGAGCCCAACCAGACCACCCCGCCAGCCACTCCCACTCCTCCCTCGTCCCGCCAGACTCTCACCCCCAAGCCTGCCACCCCGGTCAGTCCCAATCACAGCTCTGAGTTCCCCCAGAACTTCAGCCCCGCGACACTCCACGCAGGCCAGGCCTCCTCCTCGCCCCGTGCGCTCCCGGTCGAACTTTTTCTCCCCTCTTTGGGCCCGGGCTCCCTCTCCGGGGCTGGGCAGTGGTGGCACAAAGTTCCCAGCCCAGGAGCCCGGGACAAGTCGGCTCCCCCACCCCACCCCAATCCTGCCGCCCCGGGACCCAGCACTCCACGCTCCGTACCCGCATTTCCGTGGCTCGGGTGGGTGGCGCTGCGCCCCCCGCTTGGGCGGCCGAGGCCCCCTCCCCCGGGTGCGGACGTGGCCAGGCCTCCGGCCGCTGCATTCCGCTCGCTGCTCGCACTGACAGCGCCGCCCCGCCCCGCGCCCGTCCCCCGCCGCGCCGCCCCTCCGCCCAGTCCTGCGTGGCTGGCCTCTGCGCGCGTCCCCCTCTCTCTGAGCGAGCTTCCCGCCTGACCCCCCCACTCCGCAGAACCTCCTCTCCCCACCTGGCTTCTTTCTCATTCTTCTCCCTGGGCCCCTCTCTGTGCCTCCAAGTCTCCCAGGTAACCCAGACCCAGCCCCTCTTCCCTCGTACCTACGTCCTCTTCTGGCCAGGGCGCCTGTGGCTTTGGTTCATAGAGGTCTCCATGTGGCTGTCCTGGGCCAGCCCGAGTCACAGGTGAGGCTCCCTTTTTTTCTCAAGGACCCCCAGATGTTAATGGGACAAATATTCCAAGTCACCTTTTTGGATCTCAGGACAAAGCCTATCAGAAAGACCAGGTGGCGACTCTCTCCATGGAGAAGAGTTTCTCTCATCCTACTTGGAGAAAAGAGCCATGGCCTGAGGGACACCTCCTCCAGACATTTTTCAAGACCCAGAGTTGGATAAGGCGGGTAGTACATTGCCTGTAATCCAGAGTGAGCCTGTGGACTACCCTGGCCAGAGTGCAATCACACACGGTAATGTAGTTAATGGCACTTGGGCAACCATTCAGGACACTGATATGTGTGCCTTTTACACGGAACACTCCCAATGTGTGTCAAAAGTCGTGCCTGGGAAGTAGGTGTTTTCAGACACACCGGTTGAGAAGAGTCAGGTTTCCTGTGAACTTTTCATGCTGGCTGGGCTAAGTTGAGTGGGAGAGTCCCCAGGCTTTGGACGGGCGACGTTTCCCGGATTTTGCCCTTCGGGGCCTCAGTGTGGGGAGTCACAATCTCTCCTCTCAGATGGTTTACACAGGGCTTCCTTGCACTGAAGACACAAGCCTTTCTCTTTCCAACTTACACCTTTTTTGTTTTTAAAAATTACACTTCATCTATCTATCTATCTATCTATCTATCTATCTATCTATCTATCTATCTATCTATGCTCTGTCCTCTATCCATATTATTCATGGGAGTGTGCCTCAGCACCCATGTGGAGGTCAGAGAACAACTTTCAGGAGTCACTTCTCTCCTACTTTCTAGGTCCTGGGGATTGGATTTAGGTTGTTAGTTTTGGTAGCAAGTTTCTTATTAAATATCCTCATCAAGGGGGCTGAATAAATGGCTCAATAATTAATAGTATTTGTTGCTCTTGCAGAAGACCCGAGTTCAGTTCCCATCCCCACATCATGTGGCTCACAACCACCTGTAACTCAGGTTCCAGAATTTCTGGCACCCTCTTCTGGCTTCCACAGGCATTGCATACATGTGGTGCACATACAGACAAGCAGGTGCACACACAAAAATGAACGAATGAATAAATAAATACTTTTTTTCCAGGTATGGTGGTACATGTCTTTAATGCCAGCATTTGGGAGGCAGAAGCAAGGTGTATCTCTATGAGTTTGAGGCCAGCCTGATCTATATAGCAAGTTCTAGGTCAGCTGGGGCTGCATAGGAAGAGCCTATCTTGATAATAACTTGATATTATTATTATTATTATTATTATTATTATTATTATTATTATCTGGATGTGGTGGCACATTTAGTCTCAGCCCTTGGGAGACAGAGGCAGGCAGCTCTCTGAGTTGGAGGCCAGCCTGATCTACAGAGCAGTTCCAGGACAATCAGGTCTACACAGAGAAACCCTGCCTCGAACAACCCAATAATGATAATAATAATAATAACAAAAACAGATTCCTGATCCAAAGCTGGCCACCTGTCTGGTTGGATGGGTCTCACCCACAGCAGTCTGCCTCAGCACTCTCTAGTTTTCTTTTCTTTCTTTCTTTTTTTATTCTTCTTTTTTTTTTTTTTTTTGGTTTTTCGAGACAGGGTTAATCTGTGTAGCTTTGTGCCTTTCCTGGAACTTGCTTTGGAGACAAGGCTGGCCTCGAATTCACAGAGATCCGCCTAGCTCTGCCTCCCAAGTACTGGGATTAAAGGCGAGTGCCACCACCACCACCGCCCAGCTCCATTCTCTCATTTCCACTGCAGTTTTCTCAGTCTCTAAACATCGATCTTAGCAAGGCCTGTAATCCTAGCACGCTGGAGGCTGACACAGATGGAGTGTGAGGCTGCGGCAGGGGAACTGATGAATTTGAGACCACCCGTCTGGGCTATGGAGTGAGTTTCTGTCTCAAAACCAAAGGAAGAAACAACAACAACAAGGTGGGCAGGGAAACCCGTGGCTTTTTATCACAGTAACTGGAATAGAGAGGTAGGATGATCAGGAATCCAAGGCCAGTATCGGCTGTGTGAGATCCCGCCTCCCAGAAGAACGAACCAGGCGCAGAGATAGCTCGGTGGGAATTGCTTGCTACCCAGCCCAATGGACTGAGTTTAATCCCCAGAACAGACATGGTTGCTGTAGGATGGTCTGTATATCAAATCTGTTGCTCTGATTGGTCAATAAATAAAACACTGATTGGCCAGTGGCCAGGCAGGAGGAAGTATAGGCAGGACAAGGAGGAGAAGAATTCTGGGAAGTGGAAGGCTGAGTCAGAGAAACTGCTAGCCGCCACCATGACAAGCCGCATGTGAAGACACCGGTAAGCCACAAGCCACGTGGCAAGGTATAGATTTATGGAAATGGATTAATTAAGCTATAAGAACAGTTAGCAAGAAGCCTGCCACGGCCATACAGTTTGTAAGCAATATAAGTCTCTGTGTTTACTTGGTTGGTTGGGTCTGAGCGGCTGTGGGACTGGCGGGTAACAGAGATTTGTCCCGACTGGGAGCAAGGCAGGAAAACTCTAGCTACACATGGTGGTGGTGGGGGCGAACCCACGGTTAGTCTTCTGACCTCTGTATCTAAGCTGAGGCATGCACAAAAAAATGTACATACACAATAAATAAATGTGAGAAAAACAACAACTAAACGAATAGGTAAGACTTGAACAAGGAGCAGAAAAAAGTAACGGAGCGAGCCAGGAAGACATCTGAGTAACCACCATTGAGTACAGACCCTTTCTTTGAAGGTGTGACCAAGTCTTCCCTGCAGGCCAGCAGAGCTGTAACTGTGAGTACAGTCAATGATACTGGATGCAATGTGTGTGTGGTGTGGACCCAGAATTTGGGCATTTTGTCTGGACTCTAGACCATGGGAAGTTATACTAATGGTCATGTGGCTGGATTTATTATATTAATTGATTTGGCTTTTCTTCAGACTGCATATATTCAGATTGAAGCATGCTTACCATAATCTTTCAAAACAAGAAAAAGGTTTGGCTGGGAGAACCTGGCAAGAAGAAGCCCCCTCAGTACCACAAGAACATCAGTGTAGGCTTTGAGATACTCAAAGAGTCCACGGAGGGCACCTATATAGAAAGAAAATGTGCTGGGCGATGGTGGCACACACCTTTAATCCCAGCACTTGGGAGGCAGAGGCAGGCGGATCTCTGTGAGTTTGAGGCCAGCCTGGTCTACAAAGTGAGTTTCAGGACAGGCTGCAAAGCTACACAGAGAAACCCTGTCTCAAAAAACCAAAAAAACAAAAAAAAAAAAAAAAAAAAGAAAAGAAAAAGAAATGCCTCGTTTACTGATAATGTCTCCACATGAGGGTAGTTACCACCTAGTGTGGTGACCAAGTTGAGGGTGAAAAGGACTATTGTGACCCACAGGGACTATCGCTGCTACATCTTTACTACAGTTGCTTTGAGAAGCACCACAAGAATATGTCTGTCTGTACACCTGTCCCCTGCTTCAGGGGCCTGGACATAGGTAACATCATCACCAGGCCCCTGAGCAAGACAGTGCAGTACAGTGTGCTAAAGGTCACCCGGGGCCACCAGCACCCAGAAGCAGTTCCAGACATTTGGAGAGGATGCCAGCTGACTCCACAGACACAGAGAAGTTATTCTATAACTTTAAAAAATGACTTGATTCTTTCCGTGCCTTAATATTTTTGTGACATAGTCTTTTTTTTTTTTTTTTTAGTTTGTCTGTATAAGAACAGTACCAAAGCCAGCAGAGTTGGTACATGCCTTTAATCCCTGAACTTGGGTTGGGGATTTAGCTCAATGGTAGAGTGCTTACCTAGCAAGGGCAAGGACCTGGGTTCGATCCTCAGCTTAAAAAAAAAAAATCCCTGAACTCAGGAAGTAGAGGCAGGAGGATTTCTGTGAGTTCAAGGGCCAGCCTGGTCTACAAAGCAAGTTTCAGGACAGCCAGAGCTGTTATATGGAGAAATCGTGTTTCGAAAAACAAAAACAGACAAACAAAAAACAGTACCCAAAGCTCGTAGAGTCTTTTCCTAGCTCTCGTTTGGTACCTGAACCACACTGGGAGGTCAGTCTCTAAAGAAGGGACAGAGAGCTTGAGAGATAGGAGCCTAGGAGCTGGGGTGGCTCCACAGGGGTCATGGGGGAGGAGCGAGGCAGGGAGGGAGTGAGAACTGGGGATAAAGGAAGTCTAGGAAGCGACCCCAGGAGCTTCAAGTTCAACTTCTTCAGAATTAGATGTTGGATTTGGAGAGATGGCTCAGTGGTTAAGAGCACTGGGTGCTCTTCCAGAGGACCAGGGTTCAGTTCCCAGCACCCACATGGCAGCTCACAGCTGTCTGTATCTCCAGTCCCAGGGAAGCCAATGCCTTCATCTGTCTTCTGTGGGCACTGCAAGCATGGTGCGCAATCATGCATGCAGGCAAAACACCCTACAGATTAAAAGAATAATTTTCAAAAATGAGATCTCTGGGGTTGGGGATTTAGCTCAGTGGTAGAGAGCTTGCCTAGCAAGAGCAAGGCCCTGGGTTCGGTCCTCAGCTCTGAGAAAAAGAAAAATGAAATGTTCATCAATGATAGCCTCTCCCAAGTCTTCAACAGAGCCCCTGGGATTCTCCCAAATCGTGGTTACTGTGAGTGATGGCACAGAGAAACTACCAAACTAGACTGCTTCATGGGCAGAAAGAAAGAGTTATTGGGAACGAACTGCCAAGGTCATCTCTTGGGTG